CCATGACACCAAGGTCATAAAGTGCAACTTCCAAGTGGGCAGCCTTGTCCTACGCTGAAACCAAAAAGACTCGCGCGAGGCCAAACTAGCCGCAAATTGGGAAGGCCCTTACTGGGTGAAATCGAAAGCAGGTACCGAGGATTATTACCTCGAACACCTAGGCGGAAAACCATTTGCTCAACCCTAGAATGGTAAAAAAAACTCAAATAATACTATAGCTAACATTAGCGCAAGTAGAACGGACCGCCGACGATTATACTCCCAAAGGAGGGTCGTCTGGCCAAAGGATCGTGCCCTGGTGCAAGCACAATCCTCAAACATTAACGAAGGCAAGTCCCCACTCATGAAAAGAGCAAATTATGTACCCGACGGGGACAACTCAATCGAGCTCTGCCGTCACCGTACCAGCGTGGCAGGACACCTAACTCGCGATGGGAAAGTCCAAGCCCTCTGCGATTAGGACCTCAACCGAGATCCTAGTCCCACACGGCGAGATTACTTTGCCACCTCGAAAAGTTCCATAAACTATCGAGTAACATGACCAGTCGAGCAAATTCTAAAAATAATTTGCAAGGAAAAATAAACAAGGTATACAATGTCGAGGCATACAATGTCAAAATAAACATCCATAAATATACTCGATCTTATGGCCGGGAAAGTGTTTAAATATTACATAAATGTCGGGAATAGCCCGACGATCAAAAGTACAAAAAAATGGCACGCAGACCGAAATACATTAAGTCATATTCATCATCAGTGAGGATTTCTGGTGGGACCACCTTCCCGTCGACCACCTGATGCAGAACACCCATCCCTTCGGTGACCAGCTGAAGGTCGGGATTTAGGGCCTTCACCTGCTCCACAATGACAGAAAATCCAAATTCAGCAGCTCCAAGGGTGTCCTACTCGAGAATACGTATTCTCTCAACCATGTCCCGTCGAGTCTTCAAAGGCTTCTCCTCTTCAGTTTCGTCTATCCCCACAGCCGATGAGCCCTCTAGCTCAGTGACCCTAGTCTTCAAATTGGTGTTCTCCTCCCTGATCTTCTTCATTTCTTTGGACTTCTCATTCATGTCTTTGAGGAGTGTGAATTTAGCATCGTAGTTGCTTTTAAGGGTCTGCAACTGGTTGAATAGATCTGTCGCCTCCACCTCAAGTTCAGCCTCCATAGCATGTGCTTTTTTCAACTCCTTGAGAAGAACGTTCTCCGCGTTTCCAAGGGCCAAAGCCGTCTCCAAAACTCTCATCGTCACAACAGCATCGTGACAAATGAGCGACCTCCTCACACTTGGATCAACGACCAAGATGACCGACGCCTCCATATCGGGGACATGCACAAACCCCTCCCCGTCAAAAATCTTGTCTTGCAAAAAGCAGGGGGGGCAGGGTGAATTTTCCTCCAGCAAAACTGGAGCCTTCGTCTGAAGACGAGCCAAGGCGTCTCGCTTCCTCTTCTTCTGAGGATCCAGGGTAGAAGGGTCAAAGAAGCTGCCCGGCGATGGCAAAAGATCAATGAACTTCTCCAGGGTCACTTGCTGCCTGACCGCATCCGCCCTCGAGGTTGAAACCTTTTTGACATTTTCACCTGCGGCTGACTTGACCAAGCGTTCACGTAAATTCGACATCTTTCCTGCAAAGAAGAAATAAGAGGTCAGCACGACATTGAAACACCAAGAAACAAGTCGAGCACGTCATCTATACCTAGAAGCTCGAAAGCCTCGACCTCAGTCCAACAATCAAGAAGAGCTTTAGTATTTATGTAACGAGCCACCCGAGCAGGCTCCCCATCTTCAGAGTAGAGTATATTGCCATCCTTATCCACCACAATAGCATGGGTAAAGCTCTCGACAAACACTGCCAGCACTCGAAGAGACTTCTTGTCCTCGGAGCAAATTTGGTCGTGCTTCACAAGGAACTGGTCTATCCTATACCGGAAATGGGCGTGCACCTATTCCAAGGGAAACTTTGACATGGAACGCACCACTTCTTGACCATCTTCCTTTAGCATCTCCATCGTGACCAGAGAGCTCTTGGCCGCTTTGAAAATGGGCTTTATGACCAGAAATCTAAATTTGAAGTTTTGGGCAGACTCCGAGTAAGGTCAGAACAGCCTGCTCTGCTGCTTGAAAGACACCCAACTCTACTTCGATTCTGAAGTGCTCCTCTACAACTGGAAGATACAAAAGAAGAGTTCTACAGTAGCCCCTATTCGAAGGTAAAGACAAACTAATTTGAATGCTCGAATGAATGCCAGAACATTCAGGTGGAGCTGGGAATGACACAGTTCGAGGTGTAAAAATATCACCCTTTGGAAATCCGTAAAGGGCAAACGATACCCTACTTCCCTAAAGGCGAATTCATACATGGGAAATCTTCTCCCCGAATACACCGAGCATATATGGTCGTTCTCCATCGGGCTAATCGCCCTCCAACTCATAGGCGCGTCTTCAACCATATCTTCAAGGAGATCAAAGTTACTTGCCTCCTCCTCGGTAAATGTGTACTTCGTTACAAGGGGCTTCTGGGCGATCCAACTAAGATCCCCCTTCAGCCACCCGCACATTGGCATACTCAGCAGGAAGCACATCTTCGTTAATGTTTTCCCCAACTTCGGAGACGATTCCCTCATAACGACCAGCCATTTCACCTGAAAAGTAGAGGAAGCAACAATGAATTCGACAAAGATCAAATCCACCCTTCCACCACAAATCAAGTGAAAGGGCAAGGATTAAGTGCAAGGATGTCTTCATGACTCCGGCCCTTACCAACGGCAAAGGGTCTCAGCGAGACGCGTCCCCGACGCCAAGGATACGTCCCCGCTACTTATAAAGACCCTAAAAGGGAGAAGCCCCATGACTACCCTAACGTTTCGAGCATCTAAAAGCAAAACCCTCAGCTATGAAGACACCCCTGGCCGACGACAAACATAAAACAATCCCACACAACTACCTAGGAAGATCTACAGACATACAACATCCTAATCTTAAGTTCTACAAAGCCTTCATGAATTTCCCAAAAAAGTTCATGTGCTATTCAAGAAACGCATGAATTTCAACCAGATAATTCATGAACCACCGCCAAAGTCAAGAATAATTTGCAGAAATTCATACAAGTTAAAGAACTTGCTTGAATATTCAAAGGTTGAGGATGAAGATCTTGGGATGGCAGGAGCAGCAGCGGCGACGACGAACGTGTTGCAGAGTGAAAGATAAGGAGGAGAGAAATCATCGTAAAGTGTAAAATGAAATTTCGCCCCCTTTATATAGGCTCCCTTGCTCGCATGGGGAAGCGCAAAAGGAAAAACGCCATCATTGCCTAGCCTCCTAGGCCTTAAACAAAATTTATTGCGCTGTCACACGTGACACAGTGTGGCTGCCACTTGGCATCCTCAAACTGATCCCTCACGTGTTTGTGAAAAGACAAGTCTCTTCAGCTCCCCGCGGGCACATTCTCCTCGACGACGTCACCAGATCAATATCCAAGCAATAGCCTCGTTGACATTTTCTTCATCCTAAGAACAAGTCTGATCGACACAAAACACACTTCTCATCTTTGAGGAGGTCCCGCGCGATCCACAATCGACCATATCAATGTTACACCATCAACTATGTCGGTCCTCTGCCTTACGTTTTTCCAAACTTTTATGTCACAGACTTAAATAAGGCGAAGATGTTCATTTGTCACCCCTAATTATTATTATAAGGTTTAAACTATTAATATAATTAAGAAATTTCTAAAAAAAAGTTAAAGTTATCAATTTGTTTTATTTATTTTACTAGGTTAAAATAAACAAAAAAGAACTTAAATAAATCCTTCCCCTTATTTTTAATTTAAGAAAAAGTTAATTTTTTTTTAGATTTATGGAAAAATTAATGTATTTGAAGTATATGTAGTCCATATACATTCTTTAATGAATTCAAAAAATTATTTTTTTGAGGGTAATGTTAATTTGTGTCCTTAAGTCACAAGTTAATAATCACATTTATAAAAAAATTGTATTGGAAACATCAACAAAAGATCAATTTTTTTTTTTGATTAAAAATATTGCACAATTTCCAACATATTATTTTCACTTTTAATTTTTAACTTATGTCTCTAGAGTACAAGTTAGCATTACCTTTCTTTTATATTAAAAAAAAAAAACAATTTTTTTCATAAAAACACACAATTTTAGTTGGTATTGTCAGACGTGCATGATTTTATAAACCTAGGACAATATCGTAGTTTTAAAGATTGCAATGAACACGGATCCACCTCACCCTAAATTTTTTGTAAAGTAAGTCAAACTTTTATATTTCTACCTTCAATTATGCTTGTCCTCCACCTTATTTTTTTCTAAAATTTTGTAGAGCAAATTTAAACGAGACAAACATGCTCGTTTGTCATCTCTAATTATTATATGATTTAAACTTTTAATATAATTAAAAAAAATTTAGGAAAATATTAAAATTATTAATATGTTTTTATTTAAATTTATAGAAGAATCAATACATTTGGACTATAAATAGTCCACATTCATTAATTATTCTTCGTTTAAAAAACATGCCTTAATTGGTAGTGTCGGGCATGCGTGATTTAACCAACCTAACTGTTTTGATTAAATTGTTTTTTAAAAATAAATTATTTTTACATAAAATAAAAATCAGCCAAACTACATTATCATTTCACTGAGATTGCAACTGCAACTGCATCTATGATGTATGTAACAACTTGAGCGAAGCAGCTCCAAATACGCTCCTTTCCTTTCATTCCTTCATTTTTCTTTCCATCTGTTATTGTTTTGCACTGAGTTTCTCAATTTTCCTTCCATGGTTGCGGATAGTTTTTTAAAACCATGGTGATATGTATTAATCTATTGACAAATTTGATTTCTTCTGCCACATTCTTAGTACATACCTTTCTTGAAGTGCTTAACTGTGTTATTTTGGATTAAGACTCTGCTGCTGTTGTTGTTGTTGTTGTTTCATTTCTAGATTGTAGATTTCAATTCATTTGATGCGATGGGAGTGTTTGAAAGTTTCACCCTTTCAGATTGGTGTTATAGTAATCAGCATTGTTCGAAATTCGCCGAAAAGCATATGAGCAGTACAAGGGAGACAGCTTCTTTCACCTTAGGTTTAATAAGTGTTATTGTTTGGGTTGTTGCTGAGATTCCTCAAATTATCACAAACTACAAAACGAAATCGACTGATGGTCTATCTCTCACTTTCTTGATCACTTGGATTATTGGGTATGTTACCTTTTATTGAGATTTTCTAAGGGCTGATTGCGTTTTTCTTATCTGATTCGGTTAAGATAACGAATTTAGTACATAAAGTATCACTCTCTCCAGGGGTTGACGGTTGGTGAAGGTTTGGGTCCTGAGAGTCTGCTTCTCTCAAAGTCTCAAGTCCGAATCCCGCTAGGTGCTAACAATTTCAGTGTTGGACAAATCCATACAGCTGCTTTGGCTTTGGCTTTAACAGGAGCCCCCGCAAGTGGACTGTGGGATTGGTCCCCTTGGATTTGTCGGTCGCAAGGAGAGATAATTCACAGTCCCTAAAGTATATCAAATTCGTCAATTTAGTCTCTGCTATTAATATGTTAGAGATGACAAGATGAATTTTCTTATATTTGGAGACTAAATAGTCGGGTTTCATATTTATGGGCTAATTATTATGTGTATATACTTTAGGGACTAAACTAGATAGAGAATGATACTTTAGGAACAATTCTTAAATAATTGATTGCTAACTATGCAGTTTTTTCTGTTTGTCTCTTTTGTTGATCTATTTGAATCATTAACACCTCTTGGTACTTGATACAATCTATTCAACGTTGATGGGATGTGTTTCATCCTATCTGCGGGTGCAATCAACATACACATATCTGTCCTAGTCAACTAGGATCGCTCGGCTACTATTTTCATTCACTATTTTGATACAGCTTATTTATGTACTGCAGGGATCTATTCAACCTATTTGGGTGCATACTGGAACCTGCAACAGTGAGTGTCTCTCTAATGTCTTGAATATTGAAGTAGTTTCCTTCTTAAGTTTTTGGAGCTATCTTTAAAGTTTTCTATTCTTTCAAACAAGTACCATATTGGACTATGTAACATATTAACATATGCCGATACGTAATTGGTGATACTCAAAATTAATAAGGGTATGTTTATTGACTTGTTTTATTTCTTTATGCAGCTTCCAACTCAATTATATATGGCAGTGGTAAGGGCTCTAGCTGAAGACTGATGAGTTATAGTACACCTAGGATGTTACCTTTTTACTGATGTATTGATATGCAGTTGTATACCTTTATAACTGTTGCACTTGGTTCACAATCCATTTACTACGGATACATATATCCGCAATCACAATACAAGAGACAGCTCAAGGTGCAAATTCGTATCCTTATGCTGAGATACATTAAGTAAACTCAAATTGTGTAATACAATGTTTTCATCTGTATTCTATCATTGCATGAATGAGCAGGTTGAGACACCAACAAAAGCTGAACATGTAGAAAAAATAAGCGATGCTGAACAGAGTCATGGATTTGATGATTTCAGTCTGAGTTCTCCTATTCCTCTTCCACGACACCTTCCAAGCATATCTACTGGAAGAGAATTATTCTACCAGTATTAAACATTTCTCTTTAAAGCTGTTCAAAATTTATTTATCTTCAAAATGAATTTCATCAAAAAGTGGCTAGTTTAAAATACATTTCAATCTTGTAGGACTACTTAGAAATTATGATAGTTAATTTTTGGTTTATACAGGCTTCTAGTTTGACATAAAAGAACATCCTTTTATGCACAAAATGCGAAATTGAGGACTAAACATCCGTGAGATTAAGTTTAGAGTGGACAGTGCCATTTTATGCTCTGGTTTGCATGGAATGAGAATTCTGTGGATGAATTCTTGGAGCAGGTGGAGATGGTTCAGGTGAACTGATATGAAAGGACGGGGGTGAGGGTGAGACAAGAGAGGATGAGGCAGGGGTGGTGGGATCAATGTTTAATGAAGTTTTTGGTGTAGTGACAGGTGTGGTAACACTGAATGTTGTGTGAGCATGACTAGAGTATTGGCTAGGTGTGGATACATGATGGGAAATGGGTATAATTGTTGATTTACTGAGGTTTTTTGTGGTGCTAAGAATAAAAGAGGTGAAAGTAGAGTTGGCTAATGAGAGAGATACGCGTCTATTGATGAGATAGGGGGCTGTGATAAAGACATGGTCCCAAAACTGTAGAGGGAGTTTGACCTGAGTTAGACGAGTTAAACCAGTTTCAACTACATACCTATGTTTTCTTTCTACTAAACTGCTGTGGTGATGAGTATGTGGACATGTGAGTCTGTGTATTGTGCCTCACAGAATGCCTTCAACCTATTGCTTCCATTGGCGATAGTTTGCTTTGTTTCGTCTAATTTCACTGAAATTCGTTGTTTGAACGTAGATTTGGCAGCGGCAATAACTTGATCATCATGAACAGAGGTAGCTTGCATCGTTGGGGAGGGAGTGGACATGATGATGAGCATAGGATTCATGCAGTGGATACAGAAAAGACTCTGTGATACCATGTTAGAATTGGTAATCATTGAAGAGAGAGAAAAAAAGAGAGATGTATAAGTTAGATGTTTAGTATATGTAGTTGGTTAGCATAACTAACTTATAACTGAATTCCTAACAAAAATCTTACTAAGGGAAAGAGAGAGAATTGGGCCAATTCTCTTTACAGGGGAGGCCCAATCCTTATTCCTAGTAGTTAGAATTGTAGCGTACTATGCCGAGTCAACGTAGCTGTAACGAACTGACTAAGTTGGTTATATGTCCCTATGAATAGCATTATACTAGCTATTGCAATGTAACAAAATCACTTTCTCAAATCATAACATAATTCTCTCTCTCTTTCTTTGTTCAAGAATATTCTAGATGATGAATTCTAATAGTGTTGGGCTTCTTGGTATGGATGACCTTTTTTTATGGTAATATGAGGAGAATAAGCATAAAGCTACACAAAATATCTAGTTAGCCTTGCTCTCTCGATTTATAGTTTGGAAAGTTCTTAGATCTTTGTATACTCATCATTTATGTTTTGATTCATTAGGTCTGCAAGATCTCTGACCACAACTCATACACCAACAACAGGATCCCTCTTAGCCCAAAGAATGACACCTAATTCTCCTTTCCTAGATTCTATGAAAGAGGACTTGCTTGGTTCAGCTTTTGCCAGACAATCTGCCCCATCTTTGAAGATCAAATCTACTCTATGTTTGGTAAGCATTTAGTTCTACTACTACTTTATATATGATTATGACATTGTTAGCATTTAAACCTAATTGCATCTAGGCTTTACTCAGGTGTCCACATTAAGTTTTTTTGGTGTTATCAATCTCTATAAATCACTAGATAAAGGAATTAATCCCATGGTTGCAAACCCAAGACAACAATTTGTGGTTTATGTTGGAAGAAAGCTTTTTCAGGTAATACACGTCACAACTCGATTACCCGTGTTACAAAATCAATCATTGTACTTGAATATTCACCTGCATGTTTATTTTGTTTACGTATCCAGTAAGAAATTGGAAAACTTGATCACCAGCCTGCTTTTTTTCTATTTCATTGGTTCCTTCTTTTTTGTTCAATTACATAATGAAAACTAGCCCTCTCCTAGTTACCTTTCCTTTCCGGATGAATGCATGATTTTGGAATTGCAGATTCATTAAATGACATCAAATCTTCTCTTGAAGTTATAGGGTTTTAGATACAGAGAGAAGAGAGAAAAGAATAACACGTCTCAGAAATATGATTATTGTTGAAACAAAAGGGCTAGGCTAAGCACTCGCCCTTGTTAATAATAATATAAATAAACAAATCATAATAATAACTAAGAAATACAGGAACTAATCCTATGAGATAATCTAAAATACTCCAACATATTATCAATATATTATACAATATTCTGATATCTTCCAACACTCCTCCTTGAAGCTTAGGCTTTGATGCTGCGTGGAGGTTGTAGGATTTTAGGAAAAAGAGAAAGAGAAAGAACGAGGGTTCTTGAAAAATTATCATGGTTTGGTATGATTGATGATTATTTGATGATATGGAAAAGACCAAGTAGTATCCCAATGAAGGAAACAAATAATGATGAAAACTAAGAAATGTGGAAACTAATCGGAAAAGATAATCTAAGATACTAAGATAAGAATATAATCCTATGAGATAACGTACGTTACTTTAAGATAATATCAAGCCTCTATGACTCTTTTGTCTAAAGCTTGATCCTTGTTACCTTCATTCTTAGTTCGTGTCACAAGCCCAAATCACCTCCGCATTAGGGGGCATGTTAGATGAAAACAATTCATGTACTTTTAAGCAACGTCTTTTAACCAAAACAAAGACCAACAACTTGACCTTTTGGAATAGTTGGTTCATGACTGTTTTATTGATGTTAAAACTTTCAACCATTTTAAAACAAAAATAAAATGAAATATTCTTTGCGGTATTTGTCATAAATTCCTGCAGCAATTGCAGGTTAGTGGGGATCAGTTGTTGGAAAATGGTGCATCAGGAAACAGTAGCATTGGGACTTTCCTTGGATGGGCAATGACATTTCTATATTTGAGCGGAAGGATGCCTCAAATTTGGTTAAACGTGAGTTATATTATATATTTACTTTCGAGTATCTTAGCATGTACTACACATAAACATGTGGTTACATGATATAAGTCTATTCATTGTTGAATCACACACTTCAACTGGTTGTTTATGCTAATGCATATTTCAACAATTTTGCAGATCAGAAGGGGACATGCTGAGGTTAGGGACTCTAACTATTAAAGCTGCGGTCCTTTATAAATTTTGTTTTTGTTTTTCGCATTATTCATGTAGCACGAAGCATTGTTCATTCTTAGAGAGAAGAGTTTGAAGTCTTTTATGATTTGTAGGGCCTGAATCCTTTGATGTTTGCCTTTGCTTTAATTGGGAATTCCACTTATGTTGCAAGGTAAGCTTCTGCTTCATAATTCATATTATCTTCTCTGTTTTAAGTATCGGCACCAAAGTAACTTTTGCCAATTGAAAATACAACAAATGTGTGAAATCATCACTTGTATTTAATTAGCATGTACTTTATATTTTTATGCAGCATACTTGTGAGCAGCTTGAATTGGTCAACAATCGAACCAAATCTACCGTGGCTGGTAGATGCAGGAGGCTGTGTCCTTCTTGATTTTTTTGTATCCTTTTATATATTTATCTTCTATCAAATTATTCCTGCTAGAGAAAAGTTGATTCTACATAGCTTAAGTTATATGTATGATCAGGAAAGATAGCCTTGGAGTTTCGCATATTAACTTGAAAAGTTGTGCAATTATTTTCGAAGGCTCTTAGACCGGATTATCTATAACACAATTGCTGCCTAATAATATAAAAATGTTGCTTAATAACATAATAACCGGCTAATTGGTTCAGGCCATTCACTTTGAACACTTGGCTATGTCTCATAATGTTAAACTAATAAGAGGTCTAACATATGTGTACCTTAATATCTGTTTTAGATTTTAATGCAGTTTTTATATTTTCGCTGCCGAACCTCCCCGGGCCTGTAAATAAATATAAACATCAGACAGCTTCTTTTTGCGGAGGAAACAAGGATATTCAGGTTCCGTACTCTCTCCTGTATGTATATGCCGATACCACACATATTCATTAAGCCCGGATAAAAATGGCTATTGCTCATGAAACAAAATCTACACATATTACTATGAATTTCTCCCTATGGTGCAATCATATTCTGATTAATAATGTTGTCTCCCTATGAAACAGAATCTACATGATGTATATTCATAGAAATCTTTCAATCTCCACCAAGTTGGCCTAGATATGCGAGCTTGAAGCTGAATTGATGAAGGGTGATGCCTGCTTAATTGTAAGATCATTCGTCTGGTGACCAGAAAAACAAGAGGGAGTGTGGTTATGTTCATTTGAATTGGCAATTTTGTTTGAGGTTGATGCTACCATTTCGCATTCCTTTTTACTAGCTGTCACCTTGAGAATTTTGACATGATATTATTGATGCCATTTATAAAGACATTACCTTTAGTTATTATTCTTCAATTTTCATTCAGCACTTGTGATTTGATAAAGTTGTTTTTTAAATCATTACAAAATACAGACGTTTAGCATATGGTGTGACCACTTTTGCTCTGAGGATTCTATTCTCTTCTTTGATGCTTGCTCAAGAAGACTCTTCCCGGCATGTAATCCTAAACGATTTTATACGGCATGTAGTTTCCGGTAGAAGTAAAGAATAAATTCTGCATTTACTTGTACTCATAGGCTACAAGATGTTCTGAGGTAGCATTAAGTCTGGGAAGCTTTACCCTTGGGGCTTCAGTGGCACCATTAGACCCTTGAATACATAACACAATATACACTGATGCATCACGACCAAGTTCTAGATCATATACGCGCTTCCCTGCGGCATATTCTCCCATAAGTTGGTAGGATCTTTCCGACTGATCCATTGCAACACAAATATCATCACTACCTGCTCAAATCAAAGTTACAAATATCATCACTACCTGCTCAAATCAAAGTTAAAACCAGTAATATCAAGATTCACATTTCAATTTTGTTTGGGATTCATATACAACTCGCATGTATCATATATGCTACATAACGTTTCAAGGCTGGAATTACTCACATGCAGCTAACTCTATCTGTGTCTTGTAGATAAATTCCAGAACTGCTGAAATATCTTTCTCGAACATAAGAAACGGTCCGTTTGAAAACTCCATTTTTCTCAGTTTACATAGTCCCTCTCCCAACTCCATCATAGCTCCTTTATGATTCTAAATTCAGCACATCAACATAATCCAAATAAAATCATCTACTGAACAAATGGAAATCAATAAAAAGACGCGAGTAATATTCGAAACCTGATTGAATAGGTGATGAAACCCAACTGCACATTGCAGTATGCCATGAATTAATGTTCTTGAGGGCTCTTCAGCATTGTGCCAAAGAGATTCAAGGTAGTCATGACATTTGTAGTACTCTCCACCATTAAATAGAGTCACTGCTTCATCAAAGCTGTGCTCTTCTTCATCTTCGTCTTCCTCTTCTTCTTTGGAGAAATACCTGTATGAAACAACAAAGAGATTGGAGTTGCTGGTTTTGAGGTTTAGGTGCTGCTTTGAATGAGTCAATGGATTGAAGGAGGGTGAAGTAAGAGTGATGGGGTTGAATTGAGGAAGAGGAAGGCATGGATGAAAGAGTTTGGATGAGATATGGTAGATAGTTTTGTGGAAATAAGAAGAAGAAGATGAAAGAAGAGCCATAGATGATGAATGGTGAGAAAAGCTTTCTCTCTTTTAGTCATATTTTCATTCATTTTTTTATTATGTGGTGGGAGTGGAAGTTTGTGACAAACAAGAAAAAGAAAGACTTTCTTACACACTTAAAATTTATGCATGGCTCCAAAACAAACAGAAAATATTTATGATACATTACTTTTTGTTCTCAGAAAATTACACCACATGTCATTTAATTTAAAGATTCTTTTTTTATTTTTATGAGATGAAGAATGAAATATTTTATAACAGCAGTGATTCTGTTGTAAATTGAGCAATGAAGAGTTTTTCTATAATTTTGTCTTTTGTTATATCACAGTATATCGATCGTGACGAAAGTTTTATTTTAATCTTAGTCAATATACTTTATTTTACATTTAAGAAATTCATTAAGAAGTAGTTATGTCAAAAACTCAAAAAATAAATACTAGAATTTTTATAGTTAATGCAAAATTTGTGTGCCTGACATATGTTCGTGCAAAGTCAAATACTAATTAGTCAAAATTAAATAAATTAGGAGATCAAAAGACTAAATTTTAAATGGCGAGATTAAAATATTTTTTTTAAATGGACTAAAAATACATATAAGTTTAAATTATATTAGATTTTGAGACTTAGGCATATTTAAAATTTAACTTGATATAAAATTTTCAGAAATAATAAGTTATTTGAGTTTTATAGTTAACTAACGAAATATATTAGTTTATTATAAACTGTTCTAATGGATTTTAAAAAATTTAAAATTGAAATTTTTATGTTTAAAAGTTAAAACTAGTTATCAAACCAAAAATTGGTTATAATGCTGGCTATTGATATAATCAATTTATAATTGGTTTTGAGAAAATAAATCTAATTATGACAATTGATTTTAATATTCACTTATAACAAATAGATTATAAATGATTATGGATGTTAGTGCAAATCAATTAAAAACTTAGGAAAAAAAGTGAATGTGTGTTATGATGGTACAATAAAAAATAAAGAAGGCTTCCTAACTAAACGAATAAGAAGAAGAAAGACAAATAAATGATAAAGGATATATTAAGAAAAAAATCATTAATGTTGTATTGGGATTCTAAAATGACTTATAATTTGAGACAAATATTTTTTACAAAGTGACTTATAATTTGGGTCAGGGGTAGTAACTTTTAAGTGGTAATTTAAATTACAATAAATTTAGCATCCTCTCTTAATTCAAGTTATATAAAAATATCATGTCAGGCTTATTCAAAAGTATCAATCTTGATTCCTTTACCGAACACGTTTGCTGCTCTCTAAGAAAATGAAATCTTAATTCAATGTGCTTACCTTTACTATGTAGCACAAAGTTTCTTGCCTATTTAGTTACATATTTGATGTCTAAGAACAAGATCATATGCTTTCTCATTTTTATTTCGAGCTTTTTCAAAGTTGAGACTTGCCATGTTGCTTGACAGGAAGCTACTGAGTTTTCTATTTACTCTGATTTACAATAAGACAATGCAACTACTGGTTGCTTTTCAGAGCACCATGATGTTGGAGCATTGTAGAACTTGAATAAGTAGCTTGATGTGTTTTTCCAATCTTGTTTATCTCCACACCAATTTGTTGAGACAAATTTGGTTCATACCATGTATCCTCTAATATTTTGATGATAACAAAGTATTTGAAGAACAATTTGGACTTTTAACTAGCTGGTTCATGTGTACAGGATTCAATTTACTTGATGAAACTAGTTTTGTCGCAATAACAAGATATGGTTCAGTTCCAATCAGGCTCTTATGAGAGAGTCTAACCGAAAAGAAACCTTTTACATATTTCAGAATCAGAAGTGTGCTAACCCTGCCTCTGAAACAAATTGATGTCAACTCAATTTCAGAAATCACGAGACTCGAGAGTAGTTGACATTATCTTCAAAAGATTGTGTTGTACTTGTTTCACAGAAGAGTTTTATGGACAAATGCCTTGTTTAGCGGATAATTCCTTGGCTACGAGTTCTAACACCTGCTTTATTGGAAAAGAAGATGTGCAAGAAGATTTGATCTAAATATAGCCATTGGGATGCTTCAACGACTCTATTTCTTAAGTTATAAAAGGAGCAGAAGAATTGAAGATCACACAAGAGAATAACATTGCAACTTCAACTAAAATATACACGCATTCTTGTATAGCTTAAGAAATTTTTGTATTAAAATGTGTTGTATTATATTTTAACACCTCTGATTGTTAATCAAGTATTGTTGTAAGTTATTCCTTTTTTAAACCGTGAGTTTAAATAAAGTCTCTTGTCGTGGGCTTGAGAATTGAAGTCTTGAATCCATGGGATTTAAGCAAGAAAGTCTTGGACTGTAGGTTTAAGCAAGGAAGTCTTGTACTTGAGGGTATAAAGAGGGAAGTCTTGAATCTGATGGGTTTAAGCAAGAAAGTCTTAGGATCTGAGGATCTAAGCAGGAAATCTTGATCAGACACTGATTGAGCAAGGAAGTCTTAGGTTGTAGGTCTGAGCAGAAAAGTCTTATACTTGAGGGTATAAGCAATTGTAATATGATTGATTATAGTGGAAATCTCTTATGCTGTAAGGGGACTATACTACTCTCAGTTGGAGAGAAACCAATATAACTTTTGTATGTTCTTTGCCCTTTTTATTTACTTTTGTTATTTATCTACTGCACTTATAAATCAGATTCTGAACTCTGGTTCAGAAGTAAAATCGATTTGGCATACACAATTCAACCCCCATTCTTGTGTATTTTTCTCACCTTCAGTTGGCATCAGAGTAAGGTCTGTACGTAACACTTAACAGTGATACAAATAAAGTTCCAAAGATAAAAATATGTCTACTAAAGATTCTACTGCCAGTACTTTAGGAAGAGGAGTTTCCTATGATTACAGTACGTCTGAGAAAAATCATTATTCTGCTAAACATCATATATTCATTGGTGATTCCATTGAGTTCAAATGGTGGAAAAGAAAAATGTACACTTATATCATTGGACTTATTGATGAGTTATGGGATATACTTGAAGATGGTATTGAGATCACCGTTGGTAGTGTTGGTATGGTATCTGATAGAAAAACTTTGACTCCAGCTCATAAGAAAATTTATAGAAAACATCAGAGAGTCAGAGGTATTCTGGTCGATGCTTTAGCATACGTTGAGTATCTAGACATCATTGATAATTCTTCTACTAAGACTATCTTTGAATCACTGTGTTTTACGTATGAAGGAAATCAGCAAGTTAGAGAAGCAAAAGCTAACTTATTGGTACAAAAGTATGAGTTGTTCAAAATGAAGGATGATGAGGATATTGAAACTATGTTCTCCAGGTTTCAAATTCTTGTATCATGCCTTCAAGTGTTAAACAAGAGTTACTCTACATCAGATCATGTTAAAAAGATTCTAAGAAATCTCTCTTTAAAGTTTAGACCTAAAGTAACAACTATTCAAGAAGCTAAAGACCTGGATACGCTATCTCTTGAAAGTCTAATCAGTAACCTTCAGAGCCATGAGATGGAATTGAATTGAGATGAATCATAAAAGAAAATTAAATCTCTTGATTTGAGATCTGCTTCTGAAAATTCTGATGAAAAACCTAAAAGGAATTCAAAGACCAATAAATCTGATGAAACTTCTGAAGAAGATTCTAATGGTAAACCTGACGATGATGATATGGCATGTTTCATAAGAGGATTTTATAAAATGGCCAAAAGAAACTTAAGACTTTCAAAAAGCAGTGGCTTTAGAAGATCTAAAGAGAAAGAACAAGATAAAATTTGCTACAACTGTAACAAACCTGGTCACTACAAGATTGATTGTCCTGATCTTTATAGAGATAGTCAAAAGAAAGGGAGTCATCAGAATGATAACTTCATAAACAAATTTAAGAAGAATTTTATGGCGACATGGAAAGAGCTAGACAATAAAATCCAGAAAAAGAATATGAAACCAATCTGGCGCTGATGGCTCACATATCTGAAGAAGGACTTTTATCTGAAACAGAGTCTGAAGACGAAGATGAGGTATACTCTTATTATGACTTTATTTTATGCATGAATGATCTCATGAATAGTTGCAAAGATCAAGCCAGTTGCATCAAAATTTTAAAAAGAGACAATTTCATTTTGAAAGAAGAATTAAAAGAAATCAGCACATCTCAAAATGAATGTTCTACTTTAGGTAAACATGATATAACATTTCATAACTTCATCACATCTGGCATTGTTAGAACTAAACTTTCATCTATAATTTATGGAATCTGCAAAAGCAATAGAAAAGGTTTTAGGTACAATGAGAACTAATCAAGTTCTAATATGTCATTGTATAAAGTGTCCCCAGATCCTTGTTCCTCTAGCTTTGTTCAGGCAGTTCTAAGCAACTATTTTGTTCCTGCTGGTAATAATATAAAATTTATGAATCTGATAGAACCTATTGATTAGAAGTTGAAAGTTATTGTAATATTAGAACCTAATAGTCCAAAAGTTTTGATTACATTAGTATCTAAAACATCTGAATTACAGGCTAAGAAAGATTCATAAACTAAGATTGAAAATAACTTCAGTCAAAGTTTTTGGAAACATAAAACATGGAGCAAAGCTAAACCTTTTTACATGGAAAAAGGTCATGATAGGAAAGAACCTGTTAAGACTAACATGAAAGGACCCATATGTGTATGGCTACCTAAATCTCAAATTTTCTTTGCTACAGATATGCCTAAAGGAAAGGATGGGAAACCAATTGTGGTATCTGAATAGTGGCTGCTCACGTCATATGAAGGGAGAAAGGCATATGTTCCAAACTTTGAATCTGAAAGAGGAAGGAACTGTGGGTTTTGGAGGAGGCCAGAAAGGAAAGATCATTGGTACAGGTACCATTGGTAACTCTCTAACTCTTATCAATAAATTTTGGCTGGTAGATGGCTTAAAGCATAATCTACTAAGCATAACTCAATTGTGTGATAGTGGTTGTGAAGTGATATTAAATAAGAATTTATGTTTAGGTGTTAATACTG